GTATCCGAAGGGTCAGGTATCGGGTTCCTATAACTTGAGGCAGATTGCGACGTCTGCGGAGGGGCCACGGGCTCCCTAGGGATACACAGCTCCTGTGTCTTTGTCCTAGAAGGCGCGTCCTTGTACCTATCTGAATTCATAGTCGCCAGGACTTCCGGTGCAATCTTGCCCACCTTCGCTAAATACAACTCCTTTAGATGCTTTATCTCTTTCTCTTTGAAGGTTATTTGCAGTTCATCATTTTTCTTCTTCCATTCGTCTCGATCTCGGGCCATCGCCTTGTATTCCTCCAACTTGGCACGCAACTCCTGCCAATCTTTCTCCTTCTTATCCAAGGTCTCAATGGTCCCCGATGTCTGGATCTTCATTTCGCTCATCCTGACTTTCTTCGGTGGAGGAGCTGCTGTTGGGGAATCCGCCGAAGGCGATGGGCCGGGCCCATCACGTGAACGGTTGGCTCCAATGAGAGGCTGCATAGGCCGAACAGGTAGGGGCATCTCCCCGTTCGGCCTAGCCGGTGATCCCTCTGCTCGCCTAGTCCTGGTTCACGAGCTAAATCGTGACCAGACATTTCCCCTCGTCGATATCTCATGAGTCTGTTTCGGCTTTTCTCGGCGGTCCCGGACTCGACGAAGGCTAACATCTAGACCACTTCCGTGGGGTGGTCCCCACGGCCTTCTCTTCCCATTGCATTACATTAAGGAGTGCGACGGTGAACATCGCCAACTCCGGGTCTTCTAGTGCGAAAATTGCAATCCACCAAGCGTTGGTATATCTCATCTAGAGTCGTTCTTAGGCTCGTTGAGATGAAATCTATCAATTCGTTAGTGTCACTCACGTTTCTTCGAATCGGTTTTGTCTTTTCTTTCTTCAATTCCAATTCAAACTCAATAAACAAGCGTGCAACCAATAACAATCTAAAAGACAAGTCTCAACTTAGATTAATCATTACGACCTGTTTCATCTCCAAGCTAAAATAACATTCACATCTTTAAAAACAGTCAATTAAATTTCTCTTTTTTTCTCAGTTTAAAAGCTAGCACCAAAGTGGATCGTCCACATGCGATCTTGTCAAACTAACCTAACTGAGCGCTGTCACCCTTCGTACCTGGAATGTTCCAGGCTTCCATGACATAAAGCATAACCTAACGATAACACAACATACCAATATCACACTTCAACACTATCACATAAAAACCTAATACCTAATAACTAAGCTTAAACTTAATCCTAGTGCCTAAAAAGTAAACCCAATAAGACTACTTAACGCCGAATGTGGCTCTAGCATATGCTCAGATAATATTTTTTATGTGAGAAGACTTCTATGTCCCTATCTGAAAATACTACATGTATGAGGGCATATAAATCTCTCGGAGGCACTTTTCCCCTATTGGGATCATAGACTGGTAAAGAGAGAGAGAGAGAGGTCACTCCTCTCTTAACCAGGAAATCCCTAAGTCGAGTTAAAGCCATTACCAAGCTCTCCGGATTTACGTGTTGTCTATCAGTGGCCTTATTTACCAAGAAACGCAAGTTTTTCCCAGTTATCTGTGATGCAGCAGGGGGCAGCGCTATTATCCCTCCCACACCAGGCCTCTATTTCCATAAAAGCTTGATATTCTTTAACTCTCTTTTAAAGTCGGCCGTCTCTTAAAGTCGGCTAGTGCTGTCTCAAAATTAACATCCGCGGTTATCACTATAACGCACGTACGCTCCGTGAGTATGAAATCACTGTCCGTGATAACGATATTATGTGATTTAGTAGATCAAAATATGATTCAAAATTTTGTCCAAAAGGTAGTTTTTTTTTTTAGCATTTTCGCCCTCCGTTTCCAGCTCTCCGGCTTCCCTTGCCGATTTTAATTTTTTGATCATAAAGTTTTCGGTGTGGGTGAGTCGTACCCCCACTCCCCGGACAAAAATATCCATCGACGTCCCCGTCGATCGCCCAAGATCGAGCAGATCGAGATTGGATTCTGGAACGCGTAAAGGACCATCTGGAGCGACCCAGTTGGACTCAGTGTTGTCGTGACCTATGTATTTGATGCTATTTTGATCGAAATCCTGAATTGTCTAGATTGTCTTTTTCGGATCTGCTGGTAGATCCTGGAGCTAATCGAGCACTCGCAGATTTGTCAATACTTGCTCATGCAGCTGCTCCGTCTCCGTTTCGAACTCCACTTCCAGTTGAGAGCAATCGTCGATCCAATCCTGTTCTGTGTCGTTGACCAGGTCGATCTCTTGTGGCAACACTACTTCGTCCAGGCCCACTATTGAGTCCATTCCATCGCTCAAAATTAACCTGTCTACGACAAAAACCTCGCCATATGGGTTATATTTCGTCTTGTTTTTTTCTCTTTTGCCCTGGCGTGTTTCCATGGTGCAGGGAAAGTCAGACTGCACTCTTTTATCAACTTCAGTTTGCTCTGGGCAGTCCCAGTCCTCTTCGGCATATGGAAGAGTTTCGTCGTCCACCTCCACTCGCTCGGTTAACTCTAGGTCCAGTGACAGATCGCATTTATCTACCACCTCATTCCCGTCGTTTTTGTCGCGCGTCTCTCTTTCATTCACCTAACAGGCAGGATTCACTATCAAATAGTCCTCATCATACATGTCGGCTGGAATACACCAGTCCTCCGATGAGCCATTGTGGGCTTGATGTTCTGTATTGAGCTGCCCGTCCGGTTTTCAACCAATAAAAATGACCTCCTTGGTGCACTTGAGTGAATTGAACAGGGCCGCCGCTTTTTTTTCAGCAATTTTTTGATTTCCTTTGGTGGAACTACCTCCTGGAATAACCAGATAAAATCTCCAACTGAGTAGGCTTTTGCATCCGCAGTCCTTTTATCAAAACTTCGTTATTGTCTAATTTGAGCCAGCTGCGTGTTCCTCCTGCATAAATCATTAAGTTCGTGCTGCCTACTGATCACATCACGCACGTACGTTTGTGGTGCTGTCTTCTTTCCTTCGTTCTCAGGGTAGAAGGACATTAATGGCAGTGCTTTCTCGTGACCGGTCAACATCATGTGCGGGCTTATTCCTGTGGTGAAATGTTCTGTGCTGTTATGAGCGCCCATCAGTTGCGGCAAGTGCCTATCCCAGTCGTCCATGTATCGTGAGCAATAAATTCTCAACATGGAAAATGACGTGCAATTCAGCCTTTCAATTTTCAATTAGGCCATTCGTTTGTGGGTGATAAGTGGTCGAGTGGGCCTGTGTCACTTGCGACCTCTTCATTAACTCCTTCGTGAGATCATCCACGATTGCTTTGCCCTTGTCTGATTGGAATGTGATGGGGCAGTCATGTCTCACTATCCATGTATTTATCAAGTGATCGAACGTTTCTTCCGCTGATGCTGTCATTCAGGGAGCTGCCTCTGCGTATTTCGTGAAATAATCAATCACTACCAGCACTTAATTGTAGCCCATGGCTGCCATGCATATTTGCACCACCTCATTTTGAATTTGCATCACCTGATTGAATCCTGATGACTCTATCGACTGCAGAGGAAACTTTAATTTCCTAGGTAACTTCGCCCGTTGACATGTTAAGCAAGCAGAGATCCACTTTTCACGGGCCTTTTTCAAGCCAGGCTATTTGAAACGTTTCTGTATCCTACTATACACTTTGTGCACGCCTTGATGGCCTTGTGCATCTGATCATAATAACGAAAGAGCAATTCAGTTTGGTACAACTGTGGTAGCACTATCAAATTATATTTGTAAAGGATTTTGTCCTCTTCCTTGCGTTTGCAGGCCACGATCGCGTCTTTATTCAAGTACAACAAGTCCTTTCTCTTTAAATAAAATTGCTTTGGGATCTTGTAGCTGTCTTCATCCAGATCACTTTTGTCAGGTGCTCCGTTTTCGATCCATCTCTTTAGAATACTCGTCTTTCTATCATTGAGCCCTTAAGAGGTCCGACAGTCGGTACCTAGCTTTCAGATATGTCTTTATTACGTTTAGTTATCCGCTAACTATCTTCGGTGCACGGGCATCGTCCATCAACTGAACACTCCATATCTTTTTCGAAGGTGTTGCCTCTTGCACCGATGGTTCCAGGTTGGTACGGACGACCGTAGCATGCGGAGTTAACCTAGTCGGACGTTTCGACACTGCTATTAACTCAAGCTCGTCTGCGGCATTATCAACTACCGTACCCTCCTCGTCGGAGGTTTATCAGTGTCTGTCTGGGTCTTGATGCATTTCTCTACCCAGTCCGCGCTGCTTCCATTCTTTTAGCAAAGAATGAATCGCAATTTCTGAGACGGAATTGGATATAGTTTTTGACCCATTCTCCCAAGGTTGAAACTGCGAGTCATCATTTTGAGCCGATGGATTCTGCATCATCGTCTTCTGATTTGCTTATGATGTTTCCCGACTCCCCGGACGAAATTCTGTCCCTTGGTCGCTCTGAAGTCGACTCCCCGGACACCATTCTCTCCCTTGGTCGCTTCGATATTGTCTCCCCGGACAAGTAATCCTGTCCGGGCCGGAAGGGGCATGACTCCCCGGACAACGTTTTCTCCGGATGAACAGTCCGAGCTCGGCTCATAGCTCGGCTTTGTCTCTGAGAACCTAACTATTCTAGCTACGCTGGATCTTAGGTCAACATTGACCTTTGAGCAGTTTGGGTAGCGACCAATCGTTGACGCTCCATATACGAAGTCCTCAGAACGACATCCTTCGGAGTCGAACTGACTAACTGAGTCACTATCGATCGGCAATCCAGTTCAACGTCCTGACTCTGAACTGCTACTGGTTTTTTTCTCAGTTTTTTCGGTGATTGTCGACGTCTGCATGGTCTCCATCCATTCATGATCATGCCTTTAAACCTCTCTATCAAGCATGTCACGGAGTTTCAGCATGACATCCGGAGCCACGTTTACCGGCTTGTTTAGCAGGGCTATGCTGTTGATACCCAGCCTGGTCAGTTCTTGCAGCACCAGGTTTGATCGAACTAGCAAATCCAACGGAATCGGATCACCTTTCGCCAACATTTATATATCAGCAGCCGTCTCCACGGGCAGTTCAGCGTGTCCTGGTATGGGGTGCCCATACTTGTCAAGCCACCTGGTTAGCTGCAGTTTGTCGTAGGTCTCTTTGTCCAGGAATGAAAACCCATCCTTAATTTCTTGCCTCCTGGAACCATCAGCGCAAGAGGCAATGTTTTTTTGCTGAGGCTGTCTGCATTCTGGTGTTTATCACGGGTTCAATGCTCTATGATCATGTGGTATCCATCCAGACGCACGATCCAACGACCAATATAGCTTTGGTCCATCGAATAGGTCTTCAGCCAGGCAAGAGCACGATTGTCTACGCGCACCTTGAAGGGAGTACTCCCTAAGTAGCTCTGTATTTTTCAACGAAAAAGAATCACCGCAAACATCTCCGCCTTTGGTGCACCGTCGTTCATTTCAGTGTCGCTCAGGAATTTACTTCACCTTCCATTCCACTCCTGTTCCTGGTGAAGTATGCCCGATATCGCAACTACTGATGCGTCTGTTTCTAGCACAAACATCCTCTTTTCTGTCGGCATGCCGAGGTCCGGAGCCTCGCAAAGTTTTCTCTTGATATTCTCAAAGGAGACCTGAGCCTCGTCAGTCCAACTGAATTTTGTACCTTCATTTCGCATCAACTTCTGCATGGGGTATATCTTGTCAGCATACCCTTTGATAAACTCTTGGTAGTATTTAGCGAATTCGAGAAAGCTCATCAATTGCGTGTCGGTGATCGTTGCTTTCCATGTCAACGCCGCTTCAACCTTTTCGGGATCCGGTCTGACCCCGTGTTTATCTACAAGGCGACCCAGATACTTGATTGAGCCTCTCATGATTTCGCATTTTGAAAATTTTGCATTGCAGGCCGACTTATTTCATGTGTAGTCATTCTCCTAGTTCCGTCCCTATGAGGTACCGAAATCTCTTCTATTTCTATCTCGTGTTCTACAAAATTGCAGCAGCCTATATCAGCCTTGTGCTTCGAAAAAACCTCTGCGTTCCGATTTAACACCGCTCTGAGCGAGTCTAGCTCCTTATCTGATAATTTGCCTTTCAAGTGCTCTATCTAAGGTAGGACCGGCTTGTTCGATGCTAATTCTGTTTCTGTTGGTTTCTCAGGAAAAATTGAGCAACTAGACAGCCCATCCCCTGTCTCTGATTTCATTGAAAATATCTTTTTAGAAGACTTCAATTCACTTATCATCTTTAATATGCATACTTGGTTGGCATGTAAAGGACATTCAGTTACTTCTTATTTCTTGGAGTTCTCCACAATCCAATCTTCTGTGCTCAGAGGCAATGCGTAACCAAGTTTCTTGCCTTTTTGTATCGTCACCGTTGTTGCCTCTGTGTTCAACAACACACACACACAGCCCGCTCTGAGTGAGTGAGAAGCTTCTTCCTAAAATAGCTGAGCTTTTACTGTTTGGATTGGGAACCAGACACAGCTGTTTGTCGTTGCTAAGCTCGTTCAAGTTCCTCATCCTAAATATCGCTATTCCAATCTGATGTGGTTTTAACCTAACCTTCCGATTTAGGAAAATTGGCACCTTTGCTTGGTTAATCAGGATTTTATTATTTGGTTTCTTTTCATACTTCATCTCTGGGTCCTTGATTCTTATCAAGCAGTCGTTGAGGTCAGCCGTGGCATCGAAGTTGCGCACAAAATCTTGTCCTAGGATGAACTGGTCGGACTCATCAAGATTCTCGACAACCAGGAAACTGAAACAAAGATGTCTCCCTCCTAGCTGCAACGAGTTGATGGGGGTCCTTCCGGTCACGTATATTGCACCATATTTAGCCGCTGCCAGTCTGGTCGGAATCAGATCAGACCTATCAAAATCCATCTCGGTCCAAGTGCTCACAGGCATGACACTGACCATTGCTCCGGTGTCTAATAGTCCCTTCACGGAGAGTTGTCTACCCTGCACGTCTAGTACATGTGCGGCCAGATCGGCTTCACAGCCTATGTGGACTGCGTCTTGTTTGAGCATGGCGTTGTGTCCGATTCGTCGGACCTTGAGTTCTTCTCGACCAATGTAAATCCGGCCTACCTGGTCACTTGCAACCGTCACTGAGCTTTAGTGTATATGTTTATGCCGTCCACGTTCATGAGATTTGGGTGTGGGCCATAAACTTCAATGTAGTGTCCATCTACTTTCATTAGCCTCGGACCACCTGTTGTGAGTAACGCTCTCACTGCCCTATAATCCAGTTTAGGGTCTTTCCTGTCTCAGATAGTCCGCGTAGATGTCCAGGTGTACTGCCGTGATCTCGGACGGCTCGCTCAAGTTCTTCACCACCTGATGGCCCGCGACCGATATGATCGACATTATTTTCATCCCCTCTCTTGTCATGCCGAAGGTCTTTCTCGAGATGATATGCAACTCTAGACCCTGGTTCCTGGGTTCCTGGTTGTCCTCTTCTTTCGTTGTTCTGAATAGAATGTCAATTTTCTCGCGCAGCTCTGTTTTTTCTAACTCTGACCTTTCCCACTGCTCAATCTCTTTGGTGGCCAACTCTTGCTGAACATTCTGTAATGCGGTCTGTGCCGCTAGGCCATAATCCGATTTGAGCGCACCGTTTGACTCTGCCTCGATGCAATTGCCTCATCAGGTAAGGTTTTCACCATCTTGGTCGTGAATGTGCCTGTCGTCACCTCTTTCCTCCGCGATTCGAGTTTATTGATCAGGCGGGCTCGACTAACCTTGACCCCCGAAAGCGCTTTTTTATGGTGGTGATGCTTTCTGTCCGCTACTGCATCTCAAAATTTAGTGCAATCCGACTTGAAGTGTCCCTTCAAATTACAGAAAAAGCATCTCGGTCCATATTTCATTATGAGCCCCCTCACATACTCCTCGTGGTCCTCGTCGTTTTGATCAACGTCGTTGAGAAAATAGTCTATCGCCTTCAATTTTTGTTTGTAAGGGGAACAGGCTAAAACATGGTGGTCCATCGAACCACAATTCGCAAATGACTTCCTCTTATCCATGTCGTCACGAGGTCTATGCCATCTGGAATTCGCGCCTGTAGTTGTTCCACTGTAGTTGCCGTAATGGTTGTATCGATTTTGCGCTCTTAGTTTTTTGAGCAAGTATTCACGCGACTTACTGCGCAAATCATAAAAACGTGGTTTTATAAAAATTTCTGCTGCTCGGAGGGTTCCCTAAAACTTGGACCCTCCGAACTAACAATTTTAAAAAAGATTTTTTCTTTTCTGAAGTTATCAACCCAAAAACGGTTGCGGTCCAGGAAAGTGATCAAAAACGTCGACTTATGGTACCAAAATTATTCAGATCGGTTGGCTAGTCTTTGAGAAATCATCAAAAACGCGTTCGTTAAGTTGGCCTTTTTTCACCACCTATTTAGGTTCTCAGAGACTTTTTCCGCAATTCTTACTGAAAAATTCTACAAATACTTGAAGCGAGCGTAGTAGCCCTGTACGGCACTGGAATAATGCAGAAACGGACCAAAAATGGTTTGGATACAAAAACTTGGCCAAAAACTATCAAATTTGGATCCTCCGGTTCCTTCCTGTTCCGATCTTTAAGTCTTTAGCTCTCTCCGCGGAGCTATTCGGAGGGTTACCCAAAAATCACACTAGCAACCTAGCACCTTATGCTAGCAGGCTCCTGACGTAAAAATCTTTATCACTTTAACTTTAAAAATTCAAAATTTCGATTCTCAAATTATTTTGACGAAATTCGGAGAATTATAAAAACTTTGATAGAAAAAAATTTATCTTCGCAAACTTCTACTTAGACTTTTTTCGGGCGGTTTCTTTAGTCAGGGGGGAGGGGCAAAATACGTAGTAGCTCACTAAGCAGAAGCTTTTTGCTGCTTGAAAAAACTCGGATATCCAAAATTTCAGGGATTAACAGTTTGGTCGAAAATCATCATTTTTCGACAAAATTGGGGTGTTTCTCGGGTCTAAATGGGGATAAATAGTGTATAATAGGGATAATAACCTAATAGTTGTCGTTAACCAATACTACTATACCCTCTTTTGCACTAAAACATCCGAATTAAGACCCGTAACTCGGAAATTCGCAATCGATTGAGAGTGCAATCGGAAGGAGCCAATTGTGCACCCCACATTAAGTTTTAATGAAATAGTACCCGAACGATACAAAAATTGTATCAACTAAACCCAAAAGTTGTGGATGTTGTCCCTGATGCCTTCTGTTGAGTCTGGAACACGTCTGTCAGCTTGCCACTCTACCCTCCGGTCACCGGCAGAATTATCAATAACGTGCTTAAATACTCAAACAACATTCAAGGGAGGGTACCTTACCCACAATAAAAAAATATATCTTACGATCAGAAATTTTATAAATCAATCTGAAACAACAACAAATAGGATGGTCAGATCACATCTTGTCCGGAAATAAGATATAAATTGTCATTTTATGTTTTTTAATGTTCACACCTAACCCTCCGGCCCCCGGAATTTTTGGTCCTAACTAAGTGTGTTTTCGTTCGTCTTTTTTTAATCAAAAATGGCCGTTTCTGCATTTCTCTGAAATAGACCGCTCAGAATCGAAATTTTGAAAAATAAAATTTTCGGAACTTTTTGACCCTCCTTTCTACTGATAAATGATCGTTAGGGCCTCTATCGCTGTTTTTCTAGCGCCACAGCAAGTTTGACTGTGCCAATCCGGGGGAATGGCACATACACTGGTGAACAGAAAAATACACCTCGTTGAAAAGGCTTATAAATGGAGAGAAAAAGAAGCTCACATTTAAATATCTAATAGTTTTTATCAACGCGCTAGCTTTGATAAAGATAATGGGGTAAATTTTGATACTGAATTAATATGAGAACAAGACTTGCGTAAGCTCATTTTGGATCAATTTAATTTGCCACTTTTGCTTCACTAGACAACATATCGCATGTTAAATTTCAAAACATGAGTGTAGTTTTGAACACGTGAATCATCTGTATAGTCGTCAAAGTTGTTTTTTATTGAAATGGGCTCTTTCGTCATGCGACAGTACGTAAACAGGTTAGATTGAGCCTTACCAACGGTATATAAATACTTCACCAACATTTTATGAGTAATTCATTTCGATTTTAATGCATCCAGAGAATTGTCAGTTAAAATCTACCCTCCTAATTTATAGCACAGATAGATTTGTCTAAGTTGGGTGTATTTTTAGGGTTTTTGCACCCCCTAAGGCAGAGGATTGCACTCCTCAGAAATGCTAATTTTATTTTTGTTCTTATAAAGTTTGTGTGTCCGATTATGATTCGTTCCGTTTTTCGCTTAGTTTCTCTGCTAGTTTTATGACAATTTTTGTAGAGCCTGGTGCTGCTCCTCCAAAACACGCAAAAATTAGTGGAACAAAGCTGATGTGTTCTACATCCAGATTTCTTTGTTGTTATTTTAATGTTTTGACACTCTGTTGATGTTTGTAGGCGTCAGATATAGTTTTAGGGCAGGATTTAGCATGAGGGTTGAAAATGTTTACATCGAAAAAGGTTCGTCTGAATCGGCTTCCCCAGAGTCCATTTGCCTTGTTTGACACCCCTAAATTGGTGTCATTAAAAGTCATGATAATTTCAAGATTTTTTCAGGCTATATTTAGCTGCTTAATTTAAGTTATTAAAATTATGAGACCGAATGAACTAATGTTTATCTAATGTAAATCATATGAACAAAATAGACGAGAGAGAGATTCTGAGTGAGATACGAAACAATCGGGAGTGAAAATAATTATGCTCTATTGTAACATTCGCCCGGAAGATACATATCGACGGATGACAAAACTAAGTCTTAGGACGACTGGCTAGCGTCTAAACAGAGCTTTGCATGTTTTTCACCGTCTCTAC